ATAATATTGAATATTTTCTATCGTATAAAAAAAATTTATTGATCATGTCAGACACTCAATCCAATGATTCATTAAGGAAATTAAATGCTAAGCTCTTAGCTGAGATTGCAGAGCTTAGGAAGGAGAATGCTGAGATTCCTGAACTTAAAGAGAAGTTACTAAAGTTTGCTGAGGTTGAGACTGAGAATGCGAAGTTAAGGCAGATTATTGAGAAGAATATAAAGCGTGATACTGAGAATGCCGAACATAAGATCAGAATCGAGGAATTGGAAAAAAATAGTGTAGATACTTCAGCTGAGAATGATGAACTTAAGGCTAGAGTTGCGAAATTGGAATGAGAGTCCAGACAACTACAGAATGATTTCTCTCCCAAGGAACATGTCGATATAACAGAGTCTGTAACGGTCCATTCATGTGAAACAAATGATGTGGTACCAGAAGTGCAGGTTTGCATAGCAAACATCCCTATACCTGCTAGTTCTAAGCCATTAGAGGATAGAAAGACAGATGTTTTCTTGGACGAGACGAACAAGAAAAATGTTAGTAATAGTATAAGGCAGAGGAATAGGGAGAAGATGCTTTACACAGTGCCTTTCAGCCAGTGTGAGTCATCTAAAAATCAAGCCCAAGACTTATCTAAAGTGAATATCTCTTCAGCATCTAAAGTCGTACTAGAAGTTGTAACCTCTATAACCTCTGATCAGACTAGGTTGCAAGATGCTGATTCTTTGTTTCCTTTCAGCTCTCCAGAAAACAATCATATTTCATATCGTTCATCTCAGGAAAACTCTTCTCTACCTATTATCTGAAAAGTACCATACAATCAAAAAGTTGAGCAAGGTATAATTCAGGAAGTTATTTTATTTATTCAAAAAGAAGCACTTGCCTTATCAATTAATACTTCCAAGTTCAATATTGTAGTAGCTGATGGGGAAGGCCGAGATTTAGCTCAATTATTTTCTGATGCTGAAGATGCAGAAGGCAAAACGATAAAAGCTAAACAAAAAGAAAATGTACGCTGGTATGCTTATAGAGAATTATACGAAAATAAGGTTACAGAAATTTGCTCTAAAACTGGTATAGCTGAAAAAACTGCAAAGTCTCAAGTTTATATTATGATTAAAGCTTCTTTACCCAAAGTTTCAGATTCAAATCTATATAAGAAGACCCAAAGAGCTGAGAGTGTTTATAAGCTATTTGGAAAAATTATTGATCCCACAACTAAGAAAGAAGTCAAGGGAATAGGTATTGACAAGGCTTATAGAATTTCATACGGCGTAAGAAGTATATCAGAATTAACTGATTCTCAAATCTTAAATATTATAGATCGGGTAACGAATGAAACACGTAACATCCTGACCAGTGGTCAGGAACAAAATCATGTGACCAAAAAATCTGAGACTAGCAAAAAAATCTTGCCTGAAGAAAATACATCCTTATCAGCCGATTTGAGGGATTATATAAAAACGCTTACAGGGGTTTTTGTCGATGAGACCGCTTATTGGGATACACCATACGAGAATGAAACTAGGATAGTGGAAGAAATGAATGAAGAGGTTGCTTCACAATTAAGAAAAGAAATGGACAAAAGTAGGTCAGACAATGATTCTGATTCTAATGATTCTGAAGAAGAGATGCTAGACGATTCGGATGATAATGAATATAATGGTTACGGTGGATATAATGAATATGATGAATGTGATAGAGGTTATTATTATTGTGATGGAGATTATGAAAGGAAAACCTCCCCAATGATGAGTCCTATTATATCTCCAGTATCCGCTGTTAGTGATAATCCATTTGCGCAACTAAATGACTGTGCTAACTAACGTCACCAATGATCACCAGGAAAATCGTGATCACCATTTTCACCGATTTCACTGTTATCACGGTTATCATT